GAGGAGGCCACTCGTATGATCGGGGGCAGCAGGGCAGGCCCTACGAGGAGAGGCTACAGGACCTGAACCTGTTCAGCCTCCACAAGAGAAGGCTGAGGGGGGATCTGTAGCCTGTTACAAACTAGTCAGGGGGGACCAGCAGGCGCTGGGGGAGTCCCTGTTCCGCCGAGCACTGCCAGGAGTGACTAGAAATAACGGTCACAAACTGGCAGAGGGTAGATTCAGACCAGACATCAGGAGGCGCAACTTCACGGTCAGGGCGGCTAGGATCTGGAACCAACTCGTTGTAGGCAACAATCTAGCAGTATTGTTTAGCAACCAAGTGTGCATAAATAGGGAAATACAGAATTATTGAACACTCAACTCTAACCCTCTTCCTCTTGTGTGTATATGTCTTAAAATATGGCCTCACTTTCCACCGTTTCATGTAACCTGCCTTAATACAGGTCGGGGGGGAAAACTCAAATGATAACTTGAGCTAAAAATGCATTGAAAAGAAATTGTTAAATCAGCACTTTATAACAAATGCATTGCTTCTCAATGTTGTCTGGATTTTGTTACAGCAAAATATCAACAGGCAAAAAGATACAGAGATGATTACATTGATTAAAACAAAAAACAAAAAAACTGGAGCCTATTGGTATTTTATACATTCTCAAAAGTTATCCAGGAGACGGCATGCTGGGAATTGATTAAAAAAAAAAAATCAACACTTTCCAAATTTGACAGTTCTCTTTTTCTAATGTTGAAACAGATGAGTACCGTCGGCATCACGGAGAATGTAAAGGGTGATAACAAGAAGTTTGAGATCTGGTATAATGGCAGGGAGGAGGTCTATATCATTCAGGTAAGGCTCATGCTTTCCTATGACTTCTTTCCCACTGGTGTTCTCTCCAACAAGGGTGTGATTTCTGGTTGTACTGGTCTGGTAGTGGGAGAAGAAACTGGACAGCAATTCTAATGTTATTCGTTTCCTCAAAATAAACTCATTTAACAAATATAAATTGAATCAAACAACACATGGAATTTGGAGCCTCTCTTGCCTGTGCTCTTGGAACACTAAGTTTATCTTAGAGGAAATTGTCAGGACTTTAGTGTGGATGAAAAAGAAAACAATAGTGTGGAAAGTGTCTTGGGCAGCCAGATTGTTCTTTTTCAATGTGATTAATATTTTTCACTTTGAAAAATGCCCTTTTGCTTTTTTTTTTTTTCTTTATCCAGTCCTGGTTAGAGGGGATTATTCCAAGGCAAAACTGAAAACAAACTTTGGCTAATGCCATCACAGGATTGTTAGCCTCCTTGATTAAACCTGCTTTGTGTGTCTCCTGTGTTTACAGGCATCTTCTGTTGAGCTGAAAAACGTCTGGGTTTCTGAGATTCGGAAGGTCCTAACAGGCCAGCTGGAAGCATGCAGAGGTAGGACACAGAGTGAGTGTGTGATGTTGAACTCGCCCTTTACCCAATATTCAGCAGTGGGGAGAGATGAATTACTGAATGGATTTGTGCCCATGCAGTCAGCAAGAGCAAGGTTCAAAATAATTTTTTAAGTGAAATACATTATTGCATTTGGGCATGTTTGAAACGGTGAAGGACCTGTCCTGTGAGGAGAGGAAGGATGGTGCAATAATTCGGGTGCCCATCTTGGATCCCAGGACACCCAGGTTCGGTTTCCTGCTCCACCACAGACCTGTGTGATCTTAGGCAAGTCTTTTGGGGCTAAATCCTACATGGCTTTAGTCATCCAAATGGCACATAGGCAGCCGCAAAACTGCAATTCTCAGCATTTCTGCAAAATCTGTCATTTAGCTCTGTGTGTGCCCATTAAGTATGCTTAGTGGGGCTGTGCAGTGAAATAGGATATGCATTCATAAGGCTAGGTGAGTCCTGCAATTTCAGTCACAGAATAAACAGCAAGGGAAGAAGAGAACCCGGTAACTTATTAAGCAGCCAAGAGAGGGAAAGCTATGAGGCTGGGAGAAAGCAAACAAGTCAGACAGTGTGTGGATCAGTGAGACGGGTTCTAGCCTGAGTCCTCGTTCCTAATGGGGTAGAAACTTTCCTAGTGGTTTTATCCATGAATTGGGCAGGATGCAATGGGCCAGCTCAAGAGGAGGGCTGGAAAGAAGTCTGACCAATACTTCGCTGCCTGGTGTTTGGAGCACTTTGCTGAGAAGGAGGTTCACACCCATGGTGGGTAAGGGGTATCTAGAACCAAGGTCTTCTGCCCCCTGGCAAGTACCCTGCACTGGCTCTTGGGTTAAAAGGTGGGAGGGACCCCTTCTTCCCTTTCCCCCCAACAGGTTCATGCACACAGTGATTTTTGTTTTGCCACACAATGAAATAAAATCTCTAACTATGTGTAAGTGTCCAGACTGCAGTTCTGCAGCACATGTGCCCTGGTTGTGTAAAATGAATTGGGGTTTCATAGTTAGTAGGGTTGGAAGGGACCTGAGCAGATCATCGAGTCTGACCCCCTGCCATGGCAGGAAAGAGTACTGGGGTCAAACGACCCCAGCAAGGTGATTGTCAGGCCTTGTCTTAAAGACCCCCCAGGGTAGGAGCCAGCACCACTTCACTTGGAAGTTGGTTCCTGATCCTAGCCGCCCTGACCATGAAGTAGCACCTCCTGATATCTAATCTGAATTTACCCTCTGCCAGCTTGTGACCTTTATTTCTAGTCACCCCTGGTAGTGCTCGGTTTAACCCTTAGCCTCTCTATCTCGGCATAAATGTAAAAAGTAGCAATCCACAACCCAACTGGGAGATTGTGAGGACAATTACATTAAAAATGGCAAGGTGCTCGGCTACCGCAGTAATGGGGCTGTAGAAGTACCTAAGATTTTGTTACTCTCTGGCGACCTAAGCTTCTAGCCAAAATACAAGACCTTGTAGACTGTCCCCAGGGTTAGACACAGGCATGGGCAAACTGGGTGGCTGCTCAGGGCCTGGACAGAAACGGGGCCCAAAAATGGTAATTTTTGATGATTATTATTATCATGATCTCTGGCAAAGGGGAGCCCGAGACTAAAAGTTTGCTGGGGGCCGCTAGGAGTCTAGGTACACTCCTGGCTGTTCCAGGTGGAAGGAGGAATTGGCAGTGGAGTCAGGTTCTTCTGATGCAGCTCTGGTTACATGCAAAGACGCACAGAGCCCTGCCTCCTTGAAGATGGAGGGATTCAAGCTGCCAGGGACCGTTTCCCTGCTTAGAGCTGCACCTCTGACAAGCAGCACCTTCAACTGCAAGCTCACTCTCTGGGCATCTCCTGAGTGATAGATAGTTCAGGGGCTTTTCTCAGTCTGTTTCCATACCCTATCACTGCTTCTCCATCTGAATAGACACCCCCCCACCCCACCCCTGGTCTGCATAGCCCCTCTGCTCCCACAGCTCAGATTCCCGAGTAGTCATGTGTGTCCTTGGTTTGAGTGGAGAAGTGCTGTTACACCAGTTGTTACACTAAATTTTAACGGTTCGGTGGGGAGAGACTGATTGATTAGTAAGACCACTCCAGTCACAGTTTTATTAGGATACGCAATAGCAGGCTGTTTTAGTTTTTTTTCTTTTTCTTTTTTTTTTCTTTTTTTCTTTGTATCAGTAAAGACAATGCTTATATAACTTTCGATTCTGGGAAGAAACTGGTCCACTGGCTAGGGTTTTCTGTTCCCCTTGAGACTTGCATTGGTTCACTGAGCTTCAGAGAAGTCTGAGGGTTTGGGTTTGGTTGTTTTTTAGCCTTGGCCCATATTTATAACTGACTGACTTTCATATTTTCATAAATGGTCTCAGATTGGCTTTATTTAAATTTGTTTCACTGAAACCTTTAGAACTGGCTTGAACTAGATCTCTTGTCAGCTAAGAGGGCTTGGGAAAGTACAAAGGGAGGTCTTCTTATCCCCTTTTCTTAACACTGACCTGTTACTACTTTCCTCTAGTTTATGGTCTTCTCTGACAAGGCTGCTTTGTTTCTACAAATCATCTAAACATTTTAATAAAAATAGATTTATTATAGCAAAATAACATTGACTATATTTGGTTACACACTACTTCTAATATTGTAAGAGATCCATAATATAATATATTGTTTAATTACATTTTGTTAAATGTGTTGATGACTTTTCTTGGCTAAATTAGTTGCTACATCAGCAAAGATTCACACTGGTCACTCAGGCACAGGCTCTGCCGCTGAGCCACACTTTGCAGCTTGTCACTGCTATGTAGGTTAAGCTTAGGCACAGAAGCATGGCTTACAGTGCCTGTGCTTTGGGTTTGGAGACTGCTATTCTTTCAGCTATCTGCTGAATGACCTTCTTCATTGAAGGGAAGTAGTTACATTCACTGCTCTGTGAGGTTTAACCCATCTTATAATGGCATGAACTTATATACGGGTGTGTGTACACATACAGTTATGGCTTCTGGACACACCATTTGAACATGCACCCAGGATGGCAACATGTTGAGCTGGGTTGGAGCAGCCCCAGCTGGCAGAGGACTCTGGGGGTCAATCTACCAGCCTGGGGCTGCTCCTTCTTGGCTCAGTGTGCTGCAGAGGGCTTGGCTGGGCACGAGGGTGCTCCAGTCCGAGGCTAGCTGGCAGGCAGCCCTTGCACTGAAGCACCCTTGTGCCCCAGCCAACTGCCTCAGTTTCTACACATGCACTGCTGCGCATGTAAACTCCACAGGAGGATAGTGCTTATATTTACAAGTACTAACCTGCTGGGCATGTCTACACATGTATTTACACACACCTAAACTTAATGCACTTTTGCTTAAGGCTCATTAAGGTGACTTAAGTGTGCATCTACACGTGGATGTGCTAAGGGCATTCAATTTAGGTGTGAATACCTAAGTCACATTAGCACATGTGCAGATGTGCTAATGCGCATTAGTGTATGTGTACATCCATTGACGCACACCAGGTTGGTGCACATTAATGAATCTACATGTGCACTGTGACTTAGCTATTAGTGCCTAAATTTGATACCTGCTTTATGCAGGTATCAAATTTAGGCTCACACAGCCTTAAATCACCATTTTTAAGGTGCATTAGGGTATGCATGTGTAGACATACACCCTTAATGTACCTTAAAAATGGTGATT